TGGAGGGTGTATGAAATTTCCAAAAACAAGAGGCCCAAAATGAAACATGGTAAATAATTCATTATCCATAAACTTGGAATTTTTGCTTCTTTTTCCCCTAACCATTCCCTTTCCCCTAGCTAAGAAAAAGCAAGGTTAAATATCTTTTTTGGTCATTTTACTATTGAAAAAAGCTTCTTTTTGATCCTTATACTGAAAAAGTCTCTTTTTTAATCTCTAAAGTTTAAAATCTGACTCCCTTTTACTTCCTCCGTCAATTACTCCGTCAATTAAGTGATAGCATGACATTATAATTTGTTAAATGTTTTGTCTTTTTTCCTTTTATTGTTGACGTGTTATTACACGTAAATCAATAGGATCCAAAAAGAGATATGAAAATGCCACGTGAAAAAAAAATGATAATGTGGACCAAAAAATTTTTTTTTTCTTCACAAAAATATTTGAAAAATACAATGCTGATAAAAATAATAATGTGAACAGAAAAAATATTAAATTAGTATACATATTTTATTGGATTCATTTAATATATAGTATTTAATTTTTTATTTCCTTTGATTAAATTTAATAATTTTAATTTCATTTTTTTTTTCAGTTTCCTCTCCAGATATCAACTTCCTTCTTTTGAAATTCTTGTTTTTATTCACAATCAACTCTTAATATCTGAGATTCATCAAGATATAATTGAGAATTTATAAGAGTATTTTCATTGATAAAAATAAAAAATAATTACTAAGTGATTTATCAATTCAATAAACTTTAACTTCTTCTTTGCAAAATAGATCGTCTTCTTCACTGTCAAACCCAGAACTTTGTGTCTCTAATTCAAAACTAAATATGAAACTTTGGTTTCATTAGATAGATACATTCAAAATAAAAAAAAAAGAGGTTAGGAACCTAGATTTGGGTTCCTCGTGGGTTCCACGAACCCAGACTCGGGTTCCATGAGGAACGCAAATCTAGGTTCCCCATGGAACCCAGCACCTAGGTTCTGCAAGGAACCCAACAACTAGGTTCTTCGAGGAAGCCAGGATGATGAAGAGGATGGCAAAAAGGAGCGAAGATGATGTCGAGGATGAGGAGGAGGATAAGGTGAGGAGAAAGAAGAAGATGAAGAAATTAAAGTTAATTATGTTTAAGGAAAAGACGAGGATAGAAATGGGAAATGACAAGATAAAAGGAAATTGATGATTTTTTTTTTAAAAAAAATTATATTAGAACCTATTGATTACATGGAAAATAAATTTTAGTATCAATTCATCAATTTTGTAACGTGTAATCACATGTCAACATTAAAATTAAAAAAAATAAAATATTTAACAGATTATAATGCCACGTTGTCACTTAACTAACGGAGGGATAAAAAAGGGGTCAAATTTTAAACTTTGGAGACCAAAAAGAGAATTTTTTCAGTATAGGGACCAAAAGCGAGCTTTTTTCAATGGTGGAGGGACCAAAAAGGATTTTTAACCAAAAAGCAACGATGACGGCACTGGCAGCAACCGGATTGCTTTTGGGCAGCACTCCGACTTTACGGTTCCATAGACCGGTTCTCCCAAGGAAG